AAAAAAAAAAAAAAAAAAAAAAAAATACCAACCACCAAATTCTAATGAGGAGGCAGGATGCACATACATTGGATTGTTCACACCTTCTTACTGAGAATATAAGATGGTATGTTCATTCTGGAAAACACTAACAGTATCTTAAAAACTAAACATGTAATTATATGACCCAGAAAATGCTCTTCTGGGTATTGATCCTAGAGCAGAAAGAAAAAAAGAAAAACCCCATGTTCATGTAAAACCCTCCACATAAATGCTTATAGCAGTTTCAATGGTAATAGCCAGAAAAAATATAAACAATATACATTTGGGATTGTTAGTTCTTCCTGACTCTTTGGATTTACTTTGATGGGTGAATAGTTCAGCAAAAGGAACTACTGAAACAGACAACAATCTAGGTCACAAATCCAGAGAATTACATTGAATGGGGGGAAAACACAATCCCAAAAGATTACCTTCTGTATGACTCCATTTCTGGATTGCCCTTGAAATGACAAGAAGTGTGGCAATACTGACTAGGTGGCTGCCAGGGACTAAGGAAGAGGCAAGATAGGGGTGGATTCGGGGTGGGTATGGCAATACCAGGCAGGGATGGCTTCCCTGTGGGGGGGGGGGGGCTTTTGTGGGGGGGGCACTCTGTAGCTGGGCCGTGTGGATGCCAGCATTCAGGCCGTGTGGATAACACAGCCCAGTTCTGCAGCACGTTAGCATCGGGGAGATCTGGATGCAGGTTTCACAAGATTGCTATTTCTTGGGATTGTAAGCATTTCACAAGTACTTAAGAAGGTGGGCTTTTTAAAAGGCACTAGATTAAAGAAACAGAAATTTGACCTTGACTAATAGCCACAAATTTAACAAGTTCGTTATTAACTCAATACAAAAATATGTTTAGAATCTTTCCCCCAAGCTAAAAACACCACACATGAAAAAAAAAAAAAAAAAACCCAATGACTTACACTATTTATTTCTTTGGGTGATGAATTATTTCCAACTTTCAATGGTGACAGTGAGTTTCCTGGGGAGGAAAAACAGAATACCTAATAAAAGCCAAATATTACCTTATTTCTGAAAGTATAAAATTCTATAATTAGGTAAGAGCCTTAAAGCTGCACTATAAATAAGCAACATCCTACGTTTCCTAATGAAAAATTAGGATTTGAAATTTCCTTGACTTGCACTGTACTCGCCTCAATGTGACATTTTCTCCATTCACTAAAGGTTCCATCCTCTCTCTCAGGCTTCAACATCTTCGGACCTGTTTGTACTCTTAGAAATTCTGAGGACCTAAACAAAAACTTTTGTTTTCATGGTTTATTTCTACCAATATTCACTATTATTAGAAATTAAAAATATAAATTTCTGAATTGTATAATGAAAACAGAATTTTTTTCAAATGTAATACATGTTGACATAGTTTCTTATTTAAAAAGAAAAAAACTCCATGGGGATTACAACTGAGATGGAAAAAGTCACAAAATGATGTAAAAATAAACTATTATATTATTTAAAAAAAATACATTTCCATAGAGGAAAAACAGGGTGGAAGCAAGCGTTTTAAATTTTTGCTAACATTCGTCCATATTCTGCCTGACCAACGACAGCTGAATTTGCTTATCTGCACTTGCACTCACTGGCATGACTATGAGTCCCAGTGAAGTTTCTGAAGCCCATGTGGACTCACCCAGATACCACCAGGGAGGAGAAATATTGAATGTCGCCTCAGGTAATTACGAAATTTCTTAACATACAGCAACTCAAGCAGTAATTTAAGGGTTAATTACAACCTGGAATCTAAAACCCTATCATGAAGTTTTTAGGGGGGAGGGGAAAATACAATTTTCATATTGTTACATTAGAATACATTGATTTATCTTGTACTTTGAAGAGATTTTTATCCACGCCAAGACTAGGCTATCTCAGGAACTGGTCATTTGGAAAAGACTGAGAAATTCTGAGTAATAGAGAAGTTCCAAATGTTAAAACACTGCACAATAGCAAACAAATAAAAAAATAAAAATAAAAATAAAGATAAAAATCAGGTGTTTCCTATCACCAACACCCCAGCAGAAAATGTTAAGTATTGGGGAGCTGTCAAGCTGAGAGTGGCAGATGTTTCCTGAAGTTCTCATTTTTGCTTGAACTTTATCATCAGCTACAAACTACAGTGAGCTGTTTTCCTTAAGTGACAGGCTCACATTGTTCACTCTTGAGAAAATGATTACGAGCACTCTCAATCTGAATACCAGAATTTGTCATTCTTTTCAAGAAAAAACAAAGCTCCGGGCCCTCCCTGGTGGCGCAGCGGGTTAAAGCACTGCACAAAGAAGCTTAAGCCACTTCCTCATGAGTTCAATTCCCACCTGCCCCTGGAGGAGACCACATGGCGTGGCAGACCTCTCCTGACCCGCCCGCTGCTCCCCTCAGCAATGTACTTCGTCGATCTGCCTGTTCTGCACCCCACTCTGTCTCTGGTGAATCCTCTCACCCTCTGCATCTCTGGCCTGTACCCAGTTCTGTATGAATAAATAAATAAATCTTTAAAAAAAAAAAAAAAAAAAACAAAGCTCCAAGAAAAGTTTCTAATCAACTGAAATTTAGCTCACTGTTCACACATGTGCCTTCCATATTTCAGCTACAGACGTTCGACATAATTCCTTCTTTGCTAAATAAAATACTAAAAATACCTGCACAAAAGGGTCAAAATTTAGTACTAATGCCTACCACTTACTTCATCAATGACATTCTTACATGAAACTGGCCTTTCCGGTTATTGCATTAAGTACAAATAAAAACCAACAAAGACCCCATGAATGCTGGTACCCAGGCTGGGGTCACACCTGAGTTGAGCTAAGGCCCTGCATTTACTCACCTTTTCCTTAACAACATCAGCTTAAAGTCAACACAGTGTAAAAGGCAAGTAATGTTTTGATATTATTAGGATAAAAGTTTTGACCAGTTGGGGAATCTTGGTGACCCACAGCCACACTCTTTGAGAGCCACATCACTACAGTCTGAAAAAGATCACACCTCATCTACAGTCACAGAGGCTAAGTTCCATTAGGGCCCAGCAATAACAGGTTTTTAAAATTGGGAGTAAAGGAATGATAAAACTAAACAAGTCAATGTCTCAAGTAGATCTTTTTGAGTTATTACATGCATAAAATTTGCAAAGTATTTTTAAAAAATGGCCAATCTATACATCACCCATAAAAAGCCAGAATTTTCTTTTCCACATTTCAGTTCTATGATTGCAGGTCAAGCACTCATTGTAAATACTCTCTTCCCAGATGGATACTTGATGAGATTTTTTTTTTCCTTCTAAATTAATAATTAAATGCACATACTATAAGGTAGTTATATATTTAAATGCACATCCTACAAGGTGACTATTGTGTGAATACGCTACTGCTGTGTGGCTGCATATACTTATGAAGGGCAAAATCCACCACGAGTCAAGGATTCATGCTACAGTTTTCACTCACCTGTTGGCACTGTCTGCGGGTCTCCTTTGGCTCTAACCACTTCTCCACTAATGCCATTAGGGTGGGAAGACACTGAGTTGTCTTCCTGACTAGCCAAATATTGTTTGGTTTGTTCACAAAGCAAAAAATTGTTCTTTTTGCTTCCATTCTCAGGGCTTTTCAACCTGAAGTTAGGGTGGCTAGGGTATCTTCCAGGACTTCTCAAAGAGTCATGTGGTGGAAGCTTGCTTTCATTTTTCTCGAAGGTAAATGGTTCTTTCATTTTACAAGTTGATGTCTCCACATCAGTTCTTGAAATCATATTCAGCGGCAACTGAACACTCAGAGATGTCTGAAGAAGAAATGTATTTAAAAAGCGACTTTTAATTACAGAAGCAGTACTACAGGCCCGGGTTATTTCTTAGCAAGTAACATAGTTCTCACAAATGACCCTGAAGCAGGCATGACAGTGATATCAAAGTCTGACTTAAAAGTACAAGAAAAGTGGCCCTCCCTGGTGGCGCAGCGGGTTAAAGCACTGCACTGAGAAGCTAAAGCCACTTCCGCATGAGTTCAAATCCCGCCTGCCCCGGAGGAGACCACATGGCAAGGCAGACCTCTCCTGACCCGCCCACTGCTCCCCTCAGCAGTGTACTTTGTCGATCTGCCTGTTCTGCTCCCCGCTCTGTCTCTGGTGAAGCCTCTCACCGCCCCTGAGCCTCTGGCCTGTACCCCAGTTCTGTATGAATAAATAAATCTTTAAAAAAAAAAGTACAAGAAAAGAATGATTATTGCTTAATACAAATCCAGAGCTAAACAGAAGTCAACAACAGGCAAAAGGGGAAGGCCAGACACATCCAGATACTTTCAGAACTTTGTCACTATTCCTTACTTGAGAAAGATTTTGAAAGAAGAGACTTTCACGCTTAAAATATTTCAAAGCTAGAGCCTATAACTTAACACTGAATTACAACAGAGGTTATTTTTCAAGTCAGATCATCACCTACCTGTCTCCTCAGAATTCCTACCCCCTCTACTTGACACCATGCTGCGAGTTCCAACTGGCAAGACCAATTACCCAAGCGCTCTGCGCTCTCCTCTGAGAAATGCCTTCCTTCCTGGTTATCTTCACAATCAGCCTCAGCTGACCCCCATTTGGCCAGTTTTTCCCAAATCCTTTGCTTTGATAATCTCCAGCTGAGGTCCCATAAAGCGTAAATTACATCTATTGTTTTTAGGAATTTGTGTGTGCCTTTGAAAATACAGTAGTCATATTGTTGCAAAGTGCCTCTGATAGTCCTCTATCCAGAAATTGTGCTGGCCTGTTCTTTTCCTCTCAAAGAATACTCCATGTCCTGCCCACGACTCTTCTTTTTTAAGTAGTGACCTATGGTTTTGTTACAAACCCCTGACAAATCTTCCACCTAACCTCCCCTCCTTAGGGTTGAAAATGGAGGTGAAATCTCAATGTTGTTTAAAGGTGGAAATTTCCTCCTGTTTGGTGCCCTAAACTTGTCATCTCGTTGTTTGCTTTAGATTAGGCCTTGCCTAATCCAAGGCCCAAACAGAAAAGGCAATGAGACAACAATATAAAAAAACACACAGGCACACTCAAAGGTAGTAACTCTTCATAGGGATCTCTAACACAGGCCTGCAGATGGGAGCAGTGAGGGCTCAGACCCTGTGGGATCCTAAATTGAACAGAGCGTTCCCCTGTGTCATCTAATGGGATCAGACTGAGAACCACAATAAAGGCAGCATAAGAGAAATACTGTGAAATATTACAAGAGGAAGATCACCTCTGGAGAAAATAGTAGGGCTGTAAATACTGAGTATCTCTAGCCTCTGTATAAGAAATAAAAAGAACATGCACTAAAATACAGAGGTAACCACCAGAAAACAGAAACAACGCCTAACTTTAATATTACTCAGTCCAGCAGAAACGCTTCACTCTTAATATAAGCAAAAACTGATGGAGGAGAAATTCAGTCTACAGTAAGGAGACACCTGCCTTCTTACACACCAGTTAACGGACAGTGAGTGACAAGTATTTCAGTAACAACACAATGGATCAAAAAGGACCCATTACAACCATAGATGCTCATTCTTCCAACATAAACATATATATGTGTATATATATACACACATATATATATATATGACTACAAAACCCACCTCAACTAACTTCAAGAACCTACTAGGAGGCCAAATTTATCATCTAACTATAGCTCATATTCTGCTTCCCAAAGACTGAACTTGCAACCATCAAACCAGTTTTTAAAACTGTCCCTGGAGGGCCCTAGAGGGTCCATCCACCAACTCTAACCTACCTGTGCAGAGTTGCTGTGTAAGCTCATGGCTTCCATGAGATTTGCTGTCTAATCAAGAGATAACAATAAAATAAGTGATTAAAAGATATGAACAGAATGCACAGAAAAGGAAGATTAGTTGATAAATATAACAGAAAATGTTCAACCTCATCTGTAATAAAAAAATTAACTTGTAGTAACTAAGCATTACATTATTATCAGCCTACATAAGTGCAATTTTAAAAGACACTTATAGTTGAAGGGAATATAAATTAATATGCTTTTCCTGGCAAACAATTTGGTACAATATGTAGAGGTTTACAGTTTAGCCACTCACTTGATAACTCTAGTTTAGAAAAAAACATCCCACTGGAATAGTCCTAAACATCAAAAAGTTCTGAACCTATATTAATTTAAAAAGGAAAAAAAATTGTGATACCTTGTCTGGGCTACTGTACTACCATTTACAAATGCTATTAAAAAAAAACCTATATATTCAATGTACAATAAAGGGAAAAAGTAACAAAAGTTATTGTAAGAAAGATGAATGAAAGCTATTATATTCTAAACAACAATGACATTTTGGGGTAGGTAGACTGATAAGAGAATTTTTTTTCATTTTCCCAAATTTTGTTACTTTTATAGAAAAAAATTTTTAATGATTAAAATAGTTGAGAGTAAATCAAATTTTCCCCCTAAAATATGATTACTTACTTAAGCCAGGTAAAGGATCACAGTGATCCTTTATATTTAATGTTTAAGCCACAAAAGCAGGTTATAGTCATCGCAAGACAACGATGTGACTATAGTATGCGGCATGTAAACTCACAGTCTTCTGTAACTTTGCCCTTATTTTTAGTGAAACTGACAGTCATATAATTCCTTGCTTTTCTATAGTTACCAATAGACAGCTGTCTGTCTCCTCATTTATTTCAAATTGTTCGAGCACAGAAACCATGCCTTATTCAAAAAATTAACCAGAATCCTCTGGTTTCCACAGCCCCTCTCCTACTGTCTTGTACAATGAGGCACTCAAAGGATATTCATACGATAAAGCTACTTAAAGCGCACAGGTGTGATATTTTCATGACAACTTGGACAGACAAAACATTCCCTGTTTAAAATCACATCTGGTAGTTTTAAATGGGGAATTACATCATGTTGTGAGGTTTACTGAAGTTTAATAGCAAAACTTGTCTTATGAAGTCCCCAAATTGGCAAATGCATTTGACTTTAATAACAATGCCAACAAGAGAATCAATCTTTGACCTATCATAAAGTTTAAGCCACAAATAAAAAGCATAAATAAAAGGCTCCACTTATGGTGGAATATTTAGGGTACAAAGACACTTCACTAACTTCACCCTGATTTTCTTACAACTTCCAGGACAAGCAGACATCTAAATGAGTTTTTACAAGAAGTTTATCTACTTTCTTGCCTTCAGGACAGTCCATTGTTCTTCATTCTTCTTTGTAAAAATGGTTCTCTTCCCAACTGACAAGCTGCAGTTTGACCCAAACTTTGCAAACATCTAACAGAGGGGGGCACCTGAAACTGGTGTATTTGCTGCAAAGGGCATGATATGGAATAGGCTGACCTCACCCAGTTTTAAAACATTTTTTCCCATATCCAATGCACCATTTTTTACATGCCACAGGTAGATGGAAACGTATTTATGATCATCCTCATCTAAGTAGTTATAATGGCTCCTTAACTAACAAGAGGTTAATTAGAATGGCCCTCAAATTTCTTTATGCTAAAAGAGTCCTGATATTTTTAGGGCTCATATAATAAAAGAGCAGTAGAATGAAAGCATAATTTCCTTGTAATTCTAAGGGGAAAAATAAAGCCTGGGCTGTATTGTCTTCTTTGTTCTGTACTTAGTACTTTGATTGCAATAAGAAGCCAGCTCCCTAAGGGCAAACCCTTTATTCTGCTTCCCTTGGGAAAGATCCTCCTCTTCCCCCATCATCAAGAACATTCTAGGACACCTTGGGACCAGTGAAGGCAATCCCTCCTTTCCTCTCAGGAGACCACAGCCTAGTGGTCAGAGTAAACCCAGTGAATTAATTCCTCTAATACCAATACTTAGCAGTACCTTTTGTCTTTCTCTGTCTTTGTGTTGCTGGTAACTTCCTGCAACTCCAAGGAAACACTTAGCTTTAAAGCAATGAAACTCAAACGAATCAGTCGCTCAGATCCAAGCCTGAGCAGTGTCTTTGCCCTCATGGAGCTATGCTGGCTCAGACAAATCACTTCATCTTTCCAGGACTCTGACCATAAAACGTGGCCAGCAGAGGTAACTTCCTCTTGACTTACAATCATGGGGAATGAAATGCAAGACTGTGAACTACCAAGCACAGTGTCTGGGGCTTCCTGTCGATAAATTCCTGGGAGGCAGCTGTTATTTCTTTTGTCCCACTCCTCACACAAAGAATTTCTTACGTTCACAGTGGAGCTAGTTTGCATATTTAAGATGTTAAGTAATTTGAAGATTAAGATATGCTTATTTCTTTATTTTTACAGATGAGGGAGACCTGAGAAGGTGGAACTCACCAATGCCTCCAAGGTGAGTGCTTTACACAACTGAGATGAAAATTCAGGTCAGGGCCCTCGATGCACTAAGAAGCTATTGGCAGCCACTGCAGACAAGTTGGAAGCCCAGTCAGGGAGGTGGCCCACATGGCTTGGCAGACCTCTTGCGTCCTGCCCACTGCTCCCCTCAGCAGTGTATTTCAGTAGACCTGCCTGTTCTGTTCCCACTCTGTCTTTGGTGAATCCTCTCACCCACCCCTCCCGCCTCTGGCTTGTACCCCAGTTCCTGTATGTCAATAAATAAATCTTTTTTGAAAAAGAAAATCCAAAAGGCACACACGATGTAAACACTTGAACAAGCTAGTGTCAGCTAATTCATGGCTAAGCAAATGCTTCCGACCATTGGGCGGTGGGAGGTGTCGAATTAGAGTTGTGTGCGCTGCTGCTGCTGCGTATTAAACAATGGCACTGAATCCTAAAACCAGGGTTTTTTTTTTTTTTAAGATTTATTTACTTATTCATATGGAACTGAGGTACAGGCCAGAGATGCGGGGGGTGAGAGGATTCACCAGAGACAGAGAGGGGAGCAGAACAGGCAGATCGACGAAGTCCACTGCTGAGGGGAGCAGCGGGCGGGCCAGGAGAGGTCTGGCTCGCCATGTGGTCTCCTCCAGGGCAGGCGGGAATCGAACTCATGCGGAAGCGGCTTTAGCTTCTTAGTGCTGTGCTTTAACCCGCTGCGCCACCAGGGAGGGCCTAAAACAAGCTTATTTTAACGAAAAGGGTTAAGGGATCCTCTAACGGGATGCAAATGGAGCTTCCTGTTTTGGCCAGTCACGCCAGCAAGTACCATTTTGCAAACCTACTACAGGACTTGACCTCACAGCCTCGAGGCCTCACTCCTCGAGTCTCTGCACCCCCATCCTCACTCCTATCACACAGATTTCTCCTGCCCTAGACCTGCCTGATCCTAGCCAACCCAGGCTCCCCACAGCTTTCCATCCTCCCACCATATTTCCAAGCCGCTCGTACCGCTCAACGCCCGACGGCCTCAACGCCTAACCTCAACGTCCAGCGCCCAACGTCCGGCCTCCAACGACCGAAACCCCATCTCCCCAGGCCCGCTCCTGGCTCCCGCTTGCACCTGGTAAGCCTGACCTGGCGAGAGGTGAAAGGGCGGCTGACCCCAACCCGTCTCTGAAGCCTGGCCGTGGTGGAGCGTCCGTGCCCGGAAGCCCTGTGGCCTGAGGGAGCTCCTGGCGCTGCCTCACCGCCACAGCCTGAGGGCCCGCCCGCCGGACGCTGCGCCTGCGCAGTTGGCGCTCACGTGCTCAGCTACGCTCACGTGGGTCCTTTGCGTGCTCCAGCTTGCACCTCTCCCGCCTTGGGGCGGGAAGACCCGTATGTTCTTCCTGGAAACTGACTGTGGCTGTAGCTCAGGATTATTGTGCAAAGACGTACCTAGGAGCTCTCGTGGGCAAATTTTGATCGTAAAGATGCAGATCTTTTGTCCGCCAGCCACCAAGGTCACTTAGGTCATATTAACCACCCTAATCTCAGGGTTACCCCAAGTGACTCCCCTACTTTCACCTGGTCTTGGAGACTAAACACAAGGATCACTTACACCTTCTTTGCCTGACTGAGAGCCTATGATTACACTTTGATGTTACCCGAAGAAAAGATTCTTTTCACTTTAAAAACAATAACAACAAAAAAATAAATGATAGACATTTTAAACAAATTAACAAGGCAAACAGTTCCTGTATCTAACCATCATCCACTTTCAGCATCAGTTCAAAATCTTACCTACATCTCTACCTATACATTCTCCCCACTGTTTTGAAGCAAATCCCTGACCTGTTCTTTTTTTCTTTCCATCAGTTTTTAGAGCAGTTTCAGATTTAAAGCGTAAACTGAGAAGACAGAAGTTTCCCAAGTAAGGCACATCTAGTTTCCACCGTTTTGAACACATCACATGGGTAGGATAAGCTTGTTATAATTAAGGAACAAGTGCTGATGCATGATTAACTCAAGTCCAGCACTTTGAAGTTTTCATTTAGATTTTCTATTTTTTGATCTTTTCCCTTTCTGAGCTGGAATTCATACAAAACACCCCATTATAGTTGTTGTGTCACCTGTGGCTATGGCAGTCTCTCCATTTTCCCTTGTCTTGTCCCTTGTCCCAAGCATGGCTACTGAGACCATCTGCAGGTGTCCTAGAGTTGGAGTTCACCTGGTGTTTTGTTTAGGAGAAGCCTGGAGTTCAGGGTTATTAGAAGGAAGCCCACCAAAGTAAAGTGTCCTTCTCATTGCCCCAACATTCAAGTACACATTCTAGGAAAATGATTTACGGCAGCTGTTTTCTATGATCACCTAACTGAGGTGTTTGTCTAGCTATACTATAAAGTTCTACTATAAAGGTATTTTCCCCTCCCCCTTTCTATGCTGTTCACTTGGAATGAAGTCACTATGTACAGTCTACACCTAAATCTATCATTTTGTTCTGCATTTATTCCATGGAATTTGATAAAGTACTTTTCCACACCAGCTACTTAAATGAGATTTAGTTTATGAGAAATATGATGCTTTGTTTTTATATCAGTTTTCAGAGTATGATGATTCCTTGGAATCCCCCAAAGGACATGCCATCTTTAAAAACCATTGCATTCCTATTTGTTTTTTAGATTTATTTATTTATACATACAGAACTGGGGTATAGGCCAAAGGTGCAGGGGTGGGAGTGGGTAAGAGGATTCACCAGACACAGTGTGGAGCAGAACAGATGTACTGAAATACATTGCTGAGGGGAGCAGCAGTCAGATCAGGAGCGGTCTGCCAAGCCATGTGGGTCACCTCCCTCGCTGAGGATCAATCTCGTGCTGCAGTGGCTGGATAGCTTCATACTGCTGTGTTTTAATTTGTTGTGCCACCAGGGAAGGCCCTTGTGCCACCAGGGAGGGCCCTGTACTCCTTGATTTTTAATGTAGTAGACATGTTTCCAGCAGTTACTGTTACATTATTTTTGAATGCTAAATTTGTCCCTTCTTTGACCAGTGGGAGCACCTTTGAACTAACTCCTGATCTTTTGACACAATTCCTGTTATCTTGACTTTCTGTTAAAATCAACATGTCATAGGCTCTCATATATTTTCCTAGATCAGACTTAGAATCAGACTTTGCTCTCCAAAAGAAGCACAGGTGACTTTATGGGAAATTATATTTAGAGTGCATAGTGTGGAGATGAGGGACATACATTGGGTGGATCTTTATTCTAGACCTCTTCAACAGACATTTTTGTAATAAAAAAAATTGACATTTTTAAATTCAGATTTAGGATTGCAGAATTTTCACTTACTTTAAAATTTTTTTTAAAGATTTATTTATTTATTCATACAGAACTGGGGTACAGGCCAGAGATGCGGAGGGTGAGAGGATTCACCAGTGACAGAGTGGGGAGCAGAACAGGCAGATTGAGAAGGTACACCGCTGAGGGGAGCAGTGGGCGGGTCAGGAGAGGTCTGCCACGCCATGTGGTCACCTCCGGGGCAGGTGGGGATCGAACTCACGTGGAAGTGGCTTTAGCTTCTTGGTGCTGTGCTTTAACCCGCTGCGCCACCAGGGAGGGCCCTAAAATATTTTTTATTTCCTTTGTTATAGGCTGAAACTCTTGGCCCTCCCAAAGCATATTTATGTCATTTATACTAATAAAATGTTATCTATTTCAGAAATAACTACAAATATCATTGCTGATAATATGACTATTGAAAAAGTAAAATTAAAGTTCCTTAGATTTCCTTTTCCTTGGAATAATATATCTCACAGGAAGTTTTGATCTATTCATTGCCATAAAGTCAAATCATTTCTTTACTAAGACACTTTAACAACAGAATGTGTTTTAATGTAGCATCTTCTTTTAAGGGGTGAGGTGTCATTTCCTGTTGAAAAGGAAGTGGAAGACTAACACAATGTTTTATTTTTTAAGTGACTTTTTTTTATTTTGCCAGTCGTATCAAAGAAATTTAACAGAAGATATCTTACTTTACAAACTCTTGCATTGACAACTCCTTAGAATTAACTACTTTTACTCAAGAGTTGTGTATAAAATGCCCTTAACCAAAGTCCACCATGCCAGAGGACAGAGGATGCTTGCAAAGCCTCCAGGAACCCAAATGTTCACCTTAATTCGCCACAACCATTACATGACTGAATTCAAAATACTTTTTGTTGCTAATTATTGAGCAGCTTCTGCGTATCAAACCCCACTCTGGATGCTGCAGATATCGAGGCCACTCGCCGTGCTCCAGGCGCTCCCACTCGGGTGCCCGAACGCACCAACCATCGATTATTAAACAATGGTTCGTGCAGCTCTGCGGACACGAACGCGGTGTTATGGAAACCCCCAGATTCCGTCCCAGTGCAGCCTGACAGGTAGGCTGCGCCTGCTGATCCCGCCCCGTCAGGTGCCAGGGTTGCGCCTCAGAGTTGGGAGTCATGACTTGGAATTCTGTGTTACTGCTTTCTGCCCCAGAGTAATACAAGGAGGGGCCAAATGGTGAGGAGCAATTAAATCCAACGAACGCGTCCTCTAGGAATGCCCCGCCTGGGTCGGGAGGGGCGTGAGAGGCAGCGCAGGTCTAAAGTCTGGGAGCCTACCGGCCGAGTCATCCCGAGCTAGGGCATCCGGGCTTGTCCTCACTGCTGGTCCCGGCGCTGCGGGGAGGGGAGGGGTGTCCCCAGCTGAAGGCCCGGCGCGGCCCCGCCCACTGCAGACAGGTTAGTCTGCCCCCCAGGTGCGCGCGTCACGTGCCCGCGCCGCGCGGATTGGCTCCTCCCGGGAGCCCCGCCCCCTCAGCTGTAGCTGGGCCGGCTTCGGCGTCGCCGCCATCTTTGTTGATGTGTCAGCTCCGCGGGGGTTTGAGGGAGCGGTGGCGGGGGGAGCGCGGCGTCGGCCCTGTTTCCCACCGCGGTCCCTGCCCATCTTCTGGTCTGTTGGGCCCGGGTATGGAGAAGTTGGTTCCTGAGCTGGAGCTCCAGCGGCCTCGTTAGGGGTGCGGCCTGAGCCTCCTAGAAGCGGGGTGAGTGACCGAGGGGCGCCCGGGACGGTCTGGGAGTCGCGGTGGCCGCGCGGCGGGACTGCCCATCCACCCCGATGTGCCCTGCGGGTGTCGGGGCGGGAGTGGACCGGCTCCCCACCTGGCTTCTCCAGGGGTGTGACGGAGGCGAGCGCCGGGGTGAGGGGCGCAGAGTTTGGAACCCCCTTTTCTCCCTCCCTCTCTCTTTTGATCCCGGGCCGCTGGGGTTGGAGGCGGCCGAGAGGAGTGGGCGGGGGTCCTGGGGCCGCTTCTCCAGAGCGTCTGGTTTGGGGCGTAAGAAGAGCCAGTAAGAAGAGGCAGCGAACCCCACCTGCTCTGTGATCTTTCTTCGACTCTGTCGTCTCTTTCTCTTCTGATCTCCAAGTTGACTGCGGCGTGTTTCATGTTTGCTGCTGTGGCGACTTCTTCTCTTTCCCCAACATGACCATGACGGAGATTTTAAGTAAAACTTAGAGGTGATTCTTTGTGATTGTGGATGTGCGAGATAGTACTCTTGGTTTTCCCTGTTCCCTGTCTTCCAAGGACACCACGGCATTTGATAGTCCTTGGCTGGTAAGAATGGTGCTTCAAATTTGTGTTTCTATCAAGCGTGTAAAATAGTAAATCCCCTTCTACCTGTCCCCTGCCCCCAGCCCTGGAGAACAGTGCAGGTGTTGTTATTGCTCAGCTGCTAAGAATTTAGTAACTTCAGCCAGTATTCACATCTTGATTTTGTTAAGAGAAAAGAGGCCTGGATTCTGATTCGGAACATGTGCGATTAGAATCTGCCTGTTCCACTTCATTGTCTTGTTATCTATGGGAATTTCAAAGTATAGCAAAGACAGTACAGCCCCAAGCATTTGGCAATTTTCTCTGTGTGTGTGTTGGGGGGCTTGGGTTGGTCTCTGGTCTTTGCTTTTTATTTCTTCCAAAATGATAGTCTGGGAGTTTTCCTAAGGAAGATGGGCAGTTGATCAATGGAACAGTGTTGAAGTGTAGTAATACTCATTAAAAAAAAAAAAGAAAACCTATTGAGGGTGAAGCTTTCTTAACTACATCTTGATATTGGTGGAGTCTTGATCTTACAAAAAGATAAATACTGATAACACAGAGAGTGAAACTGAACTGTCTCCTGTGTATAAAGTATACTGTTCCCTGTATATTTGCAATTCTTTTATATTCTACAAATAGAAAACAGTGATGATTGGTTTTTTTCTTTTGTTTCCTTCCTTTTCGGTCTTTTCATGTTATTTTAAATTCATTGGAGGTATTAAATGACTCAGATTTTGCAGTACTAAGAATGAAACTTTGCTATTTTGTAGTAGGCAAGCATGTGCAATTACTGAACAATTTACCCAAAAATGTGTGGCTTGTTTATAAATTGTTCTTATTCTTTTAAAGATGTGTACAATGTGCAATCCAGAATTCTTGCATCTCAATTTCGAGGTTTCTTCAAACAGTGCAGATTCCGTGGTGTCAAGGGCATTTCAGAGTCTTATTCATTGCTAACTCTGTAAAGGAATAGTATAGCACAGTAACTACTATTTAACTTTTTGTTCCTTCATTCATAACTTCAAGAGTTGTCTTTTGATGTTGTACAATGACAGCATGGCTGATGATGGCTGCTTAGTGCACTCAGTTGAAAAGCATCCCTGTGCAGCCTCCTGTGGAGTTTATGGAGGGGAGGTAAGCAGTGCAGCTGGCTCTTTAGAGAGATGACAGGCTGAAGCAGCCTTGTTAGAGATTTAGAAGACATCTTTTCCCCTTTGAAGAATGATTAGAAATCTGCATTAGTTTTCCAGGTTCATCTAACAGTTTTATGTTAAGGCAAGAATCTTTAACATGCAGTTCTGGGCTTGTTTATTTCTTTCAAAAAATATTTAAGTTTTTCTTTTGTCCATTATCTCTAATTGCATATAACAAAGTGATTCTTGAATTTTTCATCAGCATGTCACTGTGCTTACAAGATTGTGAACACAGTATTATTCATTTCAAGGTGACAATTTAAATTTACAAATTACTTGAAAATTCAACTTTTTTTCTCAGCTGCTAAGATATTAAAAGTCTTTCCTGGTGCTAAGAATTAAAAGCAAATATTGGGGTGAAGGGGTAATAAAAAGTAGAAATCAAATTCAGAAAAGTATTGTTTGGCATGCTGATAGAAATTTTCTTTTTCCTTTTTTTTTTTTTTAAAGATTTATTTATTTATTCATATAGAACTGGGGTACAGGCCAGAGATGTGGAGGGTGAGAGGATTCACCAGAGACAGAGT